TGTCTTTTAGGGTACCCTTCACTACACATTTCTCATGCAAGTTCATAGTTTAGTTGCCACACACATTTCCATGCAAGTTCATAGTTTAGTTGCCTGTTTCCTAAAAAGCCCTCACATTTCTTGGTGGTAATTCAGTAAACTTTTCAAACCAAGTATAGTAGGTCGGAGGTTCTATTATAGTGACAGCTACACAGTACACACCCCACTACTGTGTCTGACCATCCACAAGGACAAATATGCTAATAAGCAGTCAACATACCTATCTTTTGCCAAAGAACCAGACAAATATCATGATTTTTATTTCCTGCTGTGCGGTTTTGACCTGAAAAGTTTATTTATTCACAAGTTTCCTACCAAATTTGGGCTTCTGAAGATGTGAACACGCACAGGATACGTGGTATCAGAGGACAGTTGTTCATTTATTTAGGAGTGATAATGGTACTGAGGGAGGAGTTGAGTTTTTGAGTCAGTACAGTTAATAGATTTATACAGAAATATTAGCAAATGAGAACGTGGCAGATCTGAGAGGGAGAATGAGTGGATGGACTAGGAGAAACAGGACGAGATGGAAAGTGACAGTTGTTGAACCTGGGTGATGGATATGTTGGGAATTACAATACTGTTCTGTCTACTTGGGATATGCTTGTATTTTCTATAAAATGTGAACCACACATTTTTAAAAGTTAGTCCTTTTGAACCTACACACAGGTATGTATATTACATTTAACTGTGAAGGTGACACAGTATTCAGTTAACCAAAGTAACCTGGGTTTTAAATGTAGAAAAGTAGTAGAAAAATCAACTACAGCCAGGAAAGAGATGGCATTAATGGTAGGTACATTTTGAACTTGAACTTCTTAAAAATTAAAAGCTTTTAAAGCTTAAAAGAAAGTAGAATGGTCACATTTCCTCCCAAAAACCAAATGTGTACATTCATATACATCTGAAGTCCAAACACCTACTTACAAAAAAAAAAAAAAAAAAAACAAGAAAACAAGGAAAAACTGCATAAAAAAGGAAAAACAACTGCATAAGTTATGTCCATCTCCACCTGGCCTTCCAAACACAATCGAGACAATCCAGAGGCCCTCTTCCTTACTCAGGGGCCAAGCAGCAATGCAGAAAACACAACCACTTGTAAGTAACTCAACTGTTCCAAGTACTTTCTTTCGCCAACCTCAGAGAGCAATGGTGCACCAAATTCTACGCAGCATTTATTCTGAGGATACATGCTACCATTTTAATTCCTATTTCAAAGCAAGAGAGAAAGTCAGAGGCCACTTCACAGTGCCCAGCCACTTGGCAAAGTTAAAGGCACAGTTACAATCATCCTGAGTGGTGAGCCTCAACACTCTCAATCTTAGCCAATACACCACCAGTTCTAGAACCAAAGGGTAACTCTATCACTAACACTGAAATTTATGGATACCACCAATACCACACTACCATCATCCTCCCTTCCTCCCAACCCAACCATTGGCCACCATCCACCAGCATCACCCCAACCAAAAACAGTTCACAGAAAAGAATAAGACTGACAAAAGATTGCCTTTCTCAAAATATTTAAACCTGACACCCAAACACATACACAGAACCAGAAACCTACAGCTGTGCAGTCACTGTGGTGCTATTTAAGCTTTAGTTAACAAAAGCTTGCACATCTGAAACAATACCATAATAACCCAAAAAAAAAAAAAAAGGAAAAGTTTCCTTCAGGAACCTCAAACCATCACATCAGGTGCATGAAAGGCTAGAAACTAACTCCTGTGCTGGTTCTGTGCTTAAGAAAGCTGCAGAATCTCAAAGCCTTCTGTGTGTGGTGTGTGTGCTGGAGGTGGGGATAGAGAGGGAGGGGGAGGAAAGACAGAGGTTAAATTTATAGAGGCCAATGACCAATCTTAGCACCAAATGAGATCTGTCCAAGCAAAGAGAGTTTCCCCTGACCCCTGGACAGTCTCCCTCTAGCTCCCTCCTCCAACAGCACCCCCACCCCTAGGAGCCTCTTAACCGGCAGGAAAATGTGTATTTGGAATCAAAGCTGCCTGCAGGTGCGTAAGGAATAAAGAAAGACACACATACATACACACACACACAAAGCCAATCACTTAGGAAGAAAAAAAAAAAACACAAAAAAGAAAAGGCAAGGGACAATTGGTGACAAGCCCTTCAGCTACCAGCTAGATTTCATTCTTTCCTCCTACCAGTCCTCCCTGGTGTACCTTTTTCTGTCCTTCAACTAAATTGCTCTTGTACACACACACACACACACACACACACACACACGTGTATATGTATGCATGTGTATAGATAATATTATAATTAACCCTTTCTGTAATAGAGCCCCATGCAGAATACAGAAAGATATTCCATCTTTTCCTCTTCTCTCCCCTCCTCCCTCCTTTCTCCCAACCAGGAGAAAACGCCCCCTTCCCCAGCTTCACCAAAAAAAAAAAAAAAAAAAAAAAAAAGGCGGGGGTGGGGGGGGCAAAGAAATCCCAAACCCCATCAGCCTCAGGTCCCCAGGACACCCGGGCAAGGTATCTAACTCGCCAGACACACAGGGACATATGGCCGGGGAGAAAGCACACACAGAACCGTCCACAGGCGCCCCAAACCCAGCAAAGAGACTTCCACCAGCCAAGAAGCCATGATTGGGGAGGGAGAGGAGGAGGAAGTAGGGACAGAGCACTCCGTGGAGAGGGGGCGCATTGTTGTGATGGTTGAACCCCTTTCTTTCTGCCCATCTGCTGTGGAGGGGGTGCAGGGAGGGGGCGCAAGGGAAAGGCGAGCTAGGAGGAGGAGATCAAGAGAACCAGGCACAGCTTGGGGAGTCCCTCCTGCTGCCTGTCTGCCCGTACCCCCAGCTCCCCTCCAACAATGAGACCTTAGCCGAGACAGACAGACAGACGGACAGACAGCCCAGAACGCGGCGGGGGTGGGGGGAGGCAGGAGAGCCTGGGCGCAGCTGAGTGGGGTGGTGCATAAAAGGGGAACCGGAGAGAGAGAGGGAGAGAGACAGGGGGAGTGGGAGGGGGGTCCCCCCCTTACCTCCAGCGCTTCAAAAGTGACAAAGCTGGTCATGGCAAATCCATCAATGATGTCCTCTTCGGCCGAGGTGGACTCTCTCCTCTTCCTCCGTGGGGGTCTGGGCCGGGACGGGGTAGAAGACGGGGGCTTCCCATTGTCTTCCTTGTCGGAGCCCGACGACGAAGCAAGCGAGGGCGCTCGGGTCCGGCCAGCCCCACCGCCACCGGCCACGCCAGCCCCTAGCCCGCCCCGGGAGCGTCTCTCCCGGTCTCGCTGTGACCGCGATCGCCGCTTTTTGCGGAGTCCATGGCCCCGCGTTGGGCCATCCATGGCTGGTGCCGTGCCGGGGTGTCCCCGCTGGCTGCCCGCCCGCCCGCGCGCCGCGGCCACACACACACACAAACACACACACACACACCAAAAAAAAAAAAATTGACACCAAGCCCTCCCTCCGCCTTCGCGGGCCCCTCCGCCCCGAGCAGGGAAGAAAGAAGGAGAAAGAGAGGGGGGAAGGGGCGGAGAGAAGAGGAGGGGGACGCGGAGCCCAAGTGCGGGGCTCCGCGCGGCACCGCGGGTCGGAGATGCCTGGGAGCAAGCGCCGAGCAAAGTAATGGCTGAACACACAGGTCTCCTTTGCAGGAAAAAAAAAAAAAATAACTCAGCAAGCAGGCAATAAATCAGAATAGCGGAATGCTTTGATCAAGAGACTGGGAGGCTCCGGGGAGCCCTCCCCGCGGCCATGCTTCCCCCTTCTCCCCTCTTAAAATAAAATTAATAAAAAAAACAAAAAAACGCTGCGATCCGTTCCGATCCAAAAGCAGGTCCCCAAAGGTCGCGGTAAAAGTGGGGGGCAATGAACTTCACCCGCCCCTTATGGAGGAAAACACCCCCGCCGCCGCCTCTCACGCACGCCTCGGAGGAAACTCAAGTGCCAGGCTCCCAAATTGTTAAGAAATGCATCCAAGGGAGGTCGAGGCTGGGGAGCGACCCGAGAGGGGGCGACACCCCCCCAGGGACGGAAGCATAATAATGCAAGGGTTAGCAGAGGAGAGGAGGAAGAGGAGATGCAGGCAGGGAGAAGGACGGAAAGGAGGATGCTTGGAGCAGCTGTGGGTTTGCTTTTTTGGGGGGGGGTGAGAAGAAGGAGGTGAGAGAAGCAAAGCCTGACGCGGCCCCCCGCCCCGCCTTGTCCTAGCCAAATATAAATATATATATATATTTTTTTTTTTTTGCAGTCCCAAAGAGGTCACCGTTCCTCAAAAAAATTTAAAAAATAAGGAGGGGTGAGCCAGTCAGTCGATGAGAAAAGCAGAAAGAAATCTCCAGCAAGCGGGAGAGACACCGCCACCGCCACTGCCACCGCCGCCACCACTACCGCCGCCGCCTCCTGTCCTCGCCGCCCCGCAGGAGGAGAGAAGCGCTGACTAGAACGCCGCTCTCTCCACGCCGCCGCTAACGCTGCCACCGCCGCCGCCAACGCGAGAGCCCCGAACCGGAGGGTGCACGGCGGGTCCCCCCACGGCTGCAGCGGGAGCCCGGGCACGGCCCCATCCTCCTCCTCCTCCGCCCGCCTCGCTCCGCTCCCGCTCCTCCCTCCTCCCCCCTCCTTCTCTAGCGCTCTCTCTCGCTCTCGCTCTCTTCCCGGCCGGCCCACCACCGCCGCCGCTGCCGCCGCCGCCGCCGCCCGCCTCAGCCCAGCGCCGCGCCCGCCCGCTCGCTCGCTCGCAAGCACGCGCACTCGCGCGCGCTACCTCCCAAAGCGCTTCCCCCGTCCCCGTGCGCGCGCGCGCGCGCGCGCGCGACCCCGGCTGGCTGGATCACGTGGGCGGCTGGGCTCCCTCCTCCCCCGCCCCCTCCCCAGTTGTAGAGTGTGTAGAAAGCAAAAGGCTGGGGGCTGGCCGCGCTCGCGAGCCCAGGGCATGCGCGCTGGGGCGGCCGGGCCTGCGCACTGGGGGCGGAGGGGAGCCGCCAGGGGACCTGGGCGGGGGTGGTGGGGGGAAGCGAGAGTACTGTGGTGTGGAAGAGTTTGTTTTGGGGTTTGTTTTTTGTGGGGGGGGAAGGGGAGGAGCGCGCACGGGGTCGGCTGCGGCCAGGCAGAGTTGACGCACTGACAAGGTGGAGGCTGCCAAGGATCCCGCCTGTCGTACGGGGGGAACACGTGCGGGACGCACCCCCACCCCCACCCTGCACCTTCCTCGGGACACTTGCTCCTTGATCTCCTTTCCACCAGCTCCCCGCTTCCCGGCTCGCCCGAGCTTCCTGATCGCCTACTCCAAAGCTCCCCCTGAAGTGTTTTCCCCTGGACTTCAGAGTAGGGACCCTTCGGGGGGCTCCTCCGGGAGGAAGGACGCAACTGGAGGCGACCGAAAAGGGAGCGGATGCTGAAGTGCGGGCCTCTGCCTGCGCGCGGGCGCACCGATAGGGCCAACAAGCAAAGTTGCAAACTTTTTCTTCCCCACGTGGCACGACAGTGCGTGGCCGAGTGACCCCGCGCCTGGGTGTTCCCACCACCACCACCACCCGATCCCCTCGTCTTGCAGTGGCGCGGGCCGCTGCAGAGCCAGGAGCGCGAGGCGGAGCGACCAGGGGCGAACTTGAACTTCGGAAGCCGCTGCTGCGGACGACAAGGCGGGGCTGGAGGGGCCGGGACCGTCCCGGCCGGTGGACCCGTTATGGACCCGCAAACCGCAGCCCCTACTAACACCACTGATTCCTAAACTTTGTAGGGGGGAAAGGGGCTTTCCTACTTTTCCCACCACTGCCCCTCCTCCCGCCGCAATGTAGCTGATGCTTACAAAAAGTTGTATTAAAGAGCTGACTGCAGCCCAGAATCGATCAACAAAAGCGACCAACCAGCCTCTCTGGGTGAAATAGCTGTGCGTTTTTCGGGACGATGGAATTGATGTGTAAGGATCAGGAGGACATCGATAGTCTCTCAGCAGCCTCTTAAATGCCTACTTCACTTTTTGTGCGAGCACATAAACGCCAAAGCACATCAGTCCTCATCCCTACTAGCCCACACTTGGGGGGGGGAAGAAAAAGAAAATAAACTGACATGTATTATTTACAACGAGCTAGGCACCATGTTACCAGGCTTTGTACACGATTTCTCCATTTTAGAATCTAAATCCAAACGTTTCGTTAGCACTGCTGGAAGGCAGTGGAACAGAAAACTATCTGACATTTCCAAGATTGATTGATTGATCGATTTTTTTTTTCATTTAACAATGATTAACGCTTTCCAAGCACAGTTCTAGGTGCTGGGAATACAGTGGTACTTAAAACAAGAGAAGGACTTCCCTCCTTGGATGTTAGGTTCTAGCAGGCAAGTCTCACTGGTCTTAACACTTCTCAATTAAATGGTTTGTCATTCCCTTGTTTTAAGTCACACTCCAACTTCCCCATTTCTGGATCTTTATAAAAATCTGGGATAAAAGGATGGGAGGAGGCAAGGCACCAGGAGCAGAGATCCACTGGACTGTGAATAAGAAGCCAAACTTTATGCCTGTTCAGGGAACAAATCATTTGACCTTAGGCAAGACTTTTAAAGACTATAGTTTTCTCATCGTGTAAATCAAAGACGTTCAATTAAATGTTCAAAAAGTTCCCTTTCAGGGCTAGTACTGGCCTTTCCAAAGGAATGACGTGTTTCTCAAGAATAGTGAGTGATATATCTGATTGAGTCTATTAGGAACACAGTGCCACCTTCCAAAATTCCTGATCTAAGCTGATTGACACTCCCTTCCCCCTCCCAGCAATTTAGCTAAGGTCCCTCTGTACAGAGTGTTGACTCTAGGATGCTGTTCCCAGTGGCTGAAACTCACACCAGGGTCATCAGTCTCATCCCACAAAATAAGGCAAGGTGATTTTTTTTTCTGTTTTTTTTTTTTTTGTTTTATTTTTTGTCATGTTAAAGCAAGGACCTGGGCTCATTATTAGGGTTTTCAGGGATATGAAAGGTGTCTTAGATACTGACAAGATTCCAAGAAAACTAGGGACTAACGTCGAAATTACACTTTTCAACAACTTTGGAATTGGGTTGAGGAAAGGTGTGAAATTGGCAAATATAATAAAAGGTATTATATTAGTGACTTTCCAGAGTAGCCCTTAGCAGTCCTGTCTTTAAAGAGTAATGTCTGGTAGGGGGAAAAAATGGGTTGTAATAGACTTCCCTGTGGCAAGAGTAATTTGCAAATGCATTTTGGGATAATGTTTAAATGATTTTTTTTTAGGGACCAAATGTAGTACTCGCTGGAATTGGCAATAACTTTTGGGTCAGAGTTTCTTCATTTTCATCTATCTGAGAATTAAAACTGTGTATTATTTTACTTCTTTTTGTTTCTAATTGTCCATTTTTTTCTGTTAATCACTAAAGAATAATTAATAGTACTGTATACTAAATAAGCTAAACAATTCCTATGTGCCAGACACTGTTCTAAGTGCATTAAAGTGGTATCTCAATTAATTCTCATAAAGATTTTGGAGGGTTTTATTATACTGTGATTATTTCACAATTCAAGGTGGCATTAGCAATTCAGTGGTAAATTGAACTTGGTCTGAGTGACTCCTAAATCTCTTCTCTGTATAGTTGTATTGAAATGCCTTCCTTAGAAGGTGTATATAGTTCAACCAGTTTGGAAAACTTTTTGGCAGTATTTATAATTAAACACCTATAATACCTACTAATTAAAACACGATAGCCCAGAAGTTTCATTCACAGATATGCCACTATCAAATGTACACCAAAAGACGTATTCAACTGCTTAGAACAATAATAACTCCCAACTGGGAGTGACCCAAATGCTCATCCACAGAAATGATAATTACTGCTGTATTCACACAACAGAACCCACACTACAGCACTAAGAACAAACAGTATACTTCCAAGTGTACAGTACACACACGAAGCTCACAAGTATGCTCAGTGAAAGTGAGATGTATAAGAATATGTATTGCAAGATTCCTTTTAAAAAGGGCAAAAGTGGGCAAAGTCATAAATGCTATTTAAGTAAGGATAGTAGTTACCTTTAATGGGGGATAATGATTGGGAGAGGCACATGTAGGGCTTCTGAGAATCAGTCATGTTCAGCAGAACAGAGACATCTTGTGTTCCATGCTGGGGCATGTGAAAATTCATCAAGCCTATTCTTACGATATAAACATCTCTCTATATGTATATTATACTTCATTTAAAACCTTAATATGTTAGCCGTGTGCTGGTGGCTCATGCCTATAATCCCAGCTACTCAGGAGGCAGAGATTAGGAGGATCGTGGTTCAAAGACAGTCCGGGGAAATAGTTCGAGAGACTCTATCTTGAAAAAAAGAAAGAAAGAAAGAAAGAAAAAACCAGGGCTGGTGGAGTGGCTCAAGTGGTAGAGCACTTGCCTGCCTAGTAAACTTAGTAAATGTGAGTTCAAACCCCAGTACTGCCAAGAAAAAAAGAAAGAAAGGAAAACTTTAATATGTTGCCTATCATAAGTATCTATGAGTATTGTTTTGGTACATACAAGCACCTATATAATACCTTGTTTTTTTATTTGTTCCTGACATTATACAAATGTTCATTCATTTTCCAAAATGGAAAAATAAGCTGTTCTGTTTTTCACACACTATTATACAGTATGACTACAACAGCTCCATAGGATAAAAAGCCAAAGTAAAGCATAGCATATCAGCAGACTTCTTCCAGGGTAGAATGAAAGATAAAGCTTAAATTAAACTCAATACGGCTTGCCAGGCACCAGTGGCTCACACCTGTAATCCCAGCTACTCAGGAAGCAGAAATCAGGAGGATTGACGTTTGAAACCAGCCCAGGCAAAGAGTTTGAGAGACCCTATCTCAAAAAACCTTTCACAAAAATAAATAAGGCCGAGGAGTGGCTCAAGGTGAAGGCCCTGAGTTCAAACCCCAGTACCGCAAAAAACAAAACAAAACAAAAGTCGATATGAGCAGAATGAATGAGTTCATAATTCATATCAGCAAAAGCTTAGGCAAATTCTTTGCCCAAGATATTACAGTTTGATAGTGACTAAACCTAAGAAATATTTCCAAAAGATGTTAACTCATTTGATAGGAAACCCTCTCAATGGTTCTAGAATAAGTGAAAGGGGAAAACGTGTGTTTAGGAATAAAATGCTTAACTCAGGAGAGTCCTACAGTTGTGCTATCTTTGATTCAAATCTATGATTAATCCTTAAACTACATTTTGAACCATCCAACCTTGACCAGTCAGAGAATACCACTAACCTCAACCACTGAACTGAACTCTGAGCTCTCTACCAGTGAAAGCTATTTTTGGTACCAAGTTTTTGAAATT